TTCGGTGTCTTGCATTCCAACGGTATTGTCTCCCGCGGGAAAAGAGCAAGAAACCGCGGTTGTGGGATGCCTACGTGGGTCAGCATGGCTCGCGGCCAGCATCAGGAGTCAAACCTGGAACTGTCCCAGGACGGGATCAGGGACGGAATGAAAATGATTACACGTTCGAAGCGGTGGCGAATAAATAAAGCGTGTTTACCGTTTCTCTGCTCTGTACGGCAACTGTACGAAATTTTCCGTTAGGATTCCCTCGAACGATCTTGTTAGCTTGCGATTTATCGTCTAAGACGTCCTCCTTTTCCTTAAGAATACCGATTGAATCTTTCCGAGGGAGGAGTTGAACAATTTGCAAAATTTTTACGAGTGAGTGGATTACTTGGATGGAGGACGCCATTTTGTTTTGGAACGTACATCGAGATGCCGATCATATATTATTTTTAACTGTAATTAATGTAGTTTAACCATAGTTAATAGATTACTTGATCGAAGTACTTGGACGCCATTTTGTTTTGAAGAGTAGAACACTAAGATGGCGGTCATTTATTATTTTCCACCATAATTAACGTAGTTTAACCATAGTAAAATTAACCACGTTTTTTTTTAATGTAACGTAGTTTCAAATTATTACATTTTGCAATATTATTAATTTATGGATGTAAATAAATTTTTGAATACTTATGAAGTTCATCATATGTGGAGTATAACAAAATGGCTGCGGTATGAATGGAAGGTTGAACAAGGAAAATGTATGCACTTACTATGTTAATAACTATGTTAATATTCATGTAAGCAAAAATTGTTAAAAATCTTTGGAAATATATTTGAAGGTCAAAAAATCGACAAAATCAAAAAATTGTCTATCAGATTTGTGTCAAGGAAAATAACTAGTTGAAGGGTCCACAAGTTCACCAAGCTTGTTCCAACAAAGTAATTAATCGGAGGGTATCTCACAAGTTTATTTGTTCGAAACGAAATAATCAGAATGTACTTCATGAGTTCAGATTTAAAACTACCCTTTTCCTCAGTTCAGATTTGTTGCACGAAGCTCCACGAGTTCCATTTCTTGAAAAGAAACTAATCAAAGAGCATCTTAGATTCCCAACAAACTAACTAACCGAAGTTTCGCAAGTTTGGATGTAGCCAACAAAATGACCAATCGAAGATTTGTAGAAAGGGGTATAAAATGGCACCCGAATGGTATAAAAATCTGTAAGAAAAAATAAAGAAAGAGAAACAGATGTTGACTCTCCATGGATCGTCCGGGAAAGTCGGCGTTCAAAGGGTTAAGAACGCTCGACAGCGTAACCGATGACAGAGAGAAGGCTCGTGGCTGACAGAATCAATGTTGAAATTGTAATCGAAGGTGAAGAACTCTGTGGCGGAGCGTAGCTGAAGCAGAGATGCCGTTAACGGTAACCCGTGGCAACCCCTGCCGCGTCCCAGCATCGATCCAAGTTTTATCGAAGCGCTCCAGCCCCGCCCTGCCTTGCCACGGGCTTGCCCGAAAATTCGACTTTATCGCGCCAATTGTAAACCACCGAATCGCTGTCGTTCAGTTAACAGCGAATCCGGATTCCGGGCGATGTTCGGACAGTTTGGTAATCTGCAGATTTTAATGTGGGGAGTCGGATATTTTGGGGTGTGGAGGGAGATTGCGGAATTTGGCGGATTTGGATGGTTTGGAGTTTTGATGGTTGGGAAGTTTGGGAAATTTAGGAAGTTTGAGAATTTTAAGAAACTTAGAAAGTTCGAGATATTTGAGAAATTTAGAAAGTTTGAAAAAATTGAGATATTTGGGAAATTTGGGAAATTTGGGAATTTTGAGAAATTTAGAAAGTTTGAAAAAATTGAGATATTTGGGAAGTTTGAGAAATTTAAGAAATTTAGGAAGTTTGAGATATTTGAGAAATTCAGAAAGTTTGAGAAAATTGAGATATTTGAGAAGTTTGTGAAATTTAAGAAATTTAGAAAGTTTGAGAAATTTAAGAAATTCAGAAAGTTTGAGAAATTAGAAAAATTTAAGATGTTTGGGAAAATTAAGATATTGGGAAAGTTTGAGAAATTTAAGAAATTCAGAAAGTTTGAGAAATTTAAGAAATTCAGAAAGTTTGAGAAATTTAAGAAATTCAGAAAGTTTGAGAAGTTAGAAAAATTTAAGATGTTTGAGAAAATTGAGATATTGGGAAAGTTTGAGAAATTTAAGAAATTCAGAAACTTTGAGAAATTAGAAAAATTTAAGATGTTCGAGAAAATCGAGATATTAGGGAAGTTTGAGAAATTTAAGAAATTTAGGAAGTTTGAGATATTTGAAAAATTTAGGAAGTTTGAGAAAATTGAGATATTTGGGAAGTTTGAGAAATTTAAGAAATTTAGAAAGTTTGAGAAATTTGAGAAATTTAGGAAGTTTGAGAAATTTAAGAATTTTAAGAAACTTAGAAAGTTTGAGAAAATTGAGATATTTGGGAAGTTTGAGAAATTAGAAAAATTTAGGAAGTTTGAGAAATTTAAGAAATGTAGAAAGTTTGAAAAATTAGAAAAATTTCGGAAGTTTGAGAAAATTGAGATATTTGAGAAGTTTGAGAAATTTAAGAAATTTAAGAAATTTAAGTTTAGAAAGTTTGAGGAATTTAAGAAATTTAGGAAGTTTGAGAGAACTGAGATATTTGGGAAGTTTGAGAAACTTGAGAAATTTGGGAAGTTTAAGAAATTTGAGAAATTTGTGAAAATTTAAGATTTCAAAAAATTTTTTCATTAATTATTTATTTGTAATTTTGATCCAAATGAAGTCTTATTAGAATTGTCAACACTGTCAGAATTAATTACAAAATATAAGTATTAAGTTTCAATTTTTATAAAATAGTACAGTTCATTTTTGAAATAAATTTGCAAAATTCCAAGATATTATTTCAGAAATTATCTATCAGATTATATTCATAATTAGATGTGTAGGTCCAGATTCACCAACCTAACCTTTAGATCCAGGTTAAAACATGAAATTCTATTATTAATATTTTGAACCTAACCACACTTATACTTTTTCTATATTCCTATTTTGTCCAATTAATTTGAATCAACACATGTAAGTGTGGTTAGCTTTCCAACCTAACGTAACCTAATTTTATATTTCCTTTCATTTAATTATAAATTTGCATTTGTCCAAAGATTATAGGGGTAATAATTTTTTATTTCAGTAATTAAGTATACTCTATTATATATTTTACTGCATGTCATAAATTCAAGTTATAAATTTTTTAAATGAAGATCGTAAGGCGATTACATACTTAAATAAAATTATTCAAAACATTAACCTTGACAATATCTTTCAAGGTCATCGAAAGAGTATATTCTTCAGTAAATAATCACATTGAAAATATTTTTCCAAATATCTCCAAAAATAAAACGAAACATTAGTCATATATTTTCAGTAAAAAAGTCGTCTAAAGTTATGTCCTTAACAACAAAATTTCAAAGTCATCGTTCTTGATGAAGTATGTGTTCCTCCATAAAAAATTGTCACACTAAAAATAATTTTGCAAATTTCTCTAAAAATAAATTCACAAGGCAATTATATCCATAGACAAAATGTTTAAGATGATGTTCTTGCCAATATACTTAAAAGTTATCATAATCAATGAAGTTTGAGTTCTTTCATAAATACTTATTACACAGAGAATTTCGCGAATTTATCTCAAACTAAAACCTTGTGATTATATTTACTCAAATTGTTCAAAATGTCCTTGACAAAATATTTCAAAGCCATCACTACAAATGAGTTCTATTGTAAATAATAATCACATCGGAAAATTTGCGAATTGTTCCAAAACTAAAACCTTGTGATATTTACTCAAATTGTTCAAAATGTTCTCGACAAAATATTTCAAAGCCATCACTACCAATGAGTTCTATTGTAAATAATAATCACATCGGAAAATTTGCGAATTGTTCCAAAACTAAAACCTTGTGATATTTACTCAAGTTGTTCAAAATGTCCTCAACAAAATATTCAAACTCATCATGAATTCTATCATAAATAATGATCACACTTTTGGAAATTTTTCTTTAAACAAACCCAGGTGATTACTACGTATAAAGTTGTCCAAAAACAGTCCGCAAAAAAACACTCGAAGATCAAAACCCTCCAATTAGCAAGTATAGTTTTGATTTGTTTTCCCCGATAAAACGTCAGTATTATTAAAAGCCCGGTATTCCGTTGATCCAGGGCGAAGAGGAGCGGATTAGTTGGCTCGCAGATCGAAGCACGACGAAGCGGATTTTTCATCGCCCTCCGTCCCTGGGCCAAGCTTTTTCCAACACGGCAAAAGTACACGCCCACGAGCTTGCTCCCTATTGTCCCGAATATTCTTTTCTGTATCGTCCGCGACGAAAGAGTAAGCGGCGTCAAAAATATTTCCCCGAGCGTTCTGCCTCTTCTCCGCGTTGTCGTCGAGCTTTTATCCCTTTGTCGTGTCCCGATCAACGTTTCCGGGCCGCGTGCTCGTTCATCCAGCTGTTTTTACCTACGTCCTTCTCGCCCGTGTTTCCCGTTAAAAAAAACCTCCATTCCGGTTTAAGCGTTCTCGATCAGTTTCATTCCCGTCGCTCGATTTATCCAGCCACGTTCCAGCACCGTTCGCTAATCAATCTCGTTTACGTTCACGCTCCAAGCACACGTTGCAGGTCTTCTTATAGCGTGTTCGCAGCGAACGAACTCTTATTATCTCCGAATGAAAGAATTTTCACGCAAGTTCGTTAGCTGCGACTGCCCAGTCCGTGCAACGAGAAAATGCGACGAGTAAGCGGGTATGCGAAATCGAGTATCGTGAACAAAACGTGTGTTTGAGCGAAGACTTAATCGAATACCGCGGTGTTAATCGCAGGTTGATTGCTCGGTGATCGCGGTTTTGCTCACGATATCGAGGTTACCACACGGTGGTCGAATGATCAGACTAGGCGGGGGTTGTGGGGGTCGGGGGAAAGAAATCTCGTGTCTCCCTACTCACCTCCGTAGTTCGGCCTTACTCTTTTATCGTAACTGACGGAGAACGAGTCCAATATCGCGGAGATGTTGACGTCACCCAGCATACTGCCACCGCCGGTTCTGCAATATAAAAAGGATAACGATTTTGAGAAAGTTGCCGACACGATAAAAAAGAAGTTCAGGCGAGGGTGGACCAGATGTGGAAGGAGAATGATGGCGGTGGGTCACGAGCCACGTATACACGCGAAAAACACTTTTAATATGACTGACGTGAAACGAGTTATGTCGTATACTGCGTCGTGGATGAAGGTTTAAAGCTTTTGGAAGGTGATACGTAATACGGGGAAATTTATTGTTGGTAGATTGGGGTTGTGGATGTAATTGTGAACTATAGATTTTTATTACGTAGGAGGTATATAATATTATTAAGTGTGTTAGATATATCTATAGATGTATTTAACAATTCGTTAATGTAGCATAACATTATTGCGGACGAGTCTCGGTATATAGCCGCCCAACATTCTCGGGATTCTGAACCTAAGAATCCTACGACTTCTGAAACAGCAGAAAGGCTGAACGGTCTTTTATATATTATTCGGCGAGATAATACAGGAAGGAGTAAAGACTGTCTAGTGTGTTCTAATTGAAATGTAAAGCATGGAAGAAGAGAGTCCCAAATAAAGAGAATCCCAAATAATAAAGAGAATCCCAATTTCCCAACTTTCTCAAATTTCTCAATCTTCCCAAATTTCTCAAATTTCCCAAACTTCCCAAACTTCCCCAATTTCTCAAATTTTATATTTTCAAGTTCCAAAATTCTCAAATTCCATATTCTCAAGTCCCAAAATTCTCAAATACCATATACCAAAGTCCCAAAATTCCCAAAATCCATATTCCAAAGTTCCAAAATTCTATAATTCCATATTCTCAAGTTCCAAAATTCTCAAATAACATATACCAAAGTTCCAAAATTCTCAAACCCCAAAATTCCTACATTCCATATTCCAAAATCCCAAAATTCTCAAATTCCCAAATTCCCAAATTCCCAAATTCCAAAATTCCAAAATTTTCTAATTCTAAATTTCCAAATCCCAAATTTCCCAAATTTCCCAAATTTCCAAATTACCAAATTACCAAATTTCGAAATTTTCAAAAATCCCAAATTCTCAAATTTCTAAATTTTCAAAAATCCCAACTGCTCACATTATAAAATTCCCAAATTACCAAATTACCAAATTACCAAATTACCAAATTACCAAATTACCAAATTACCAAATTACCAAATTACCAAATTACCAAATTACCAAATTACCAAATTACCAAATTACCAAATTACTAAATTACCAAATTACCAAATTACCAAATTACCAAATTACCGAATTTCCAAAAACCAAATTACCAAGTTCCCAAATTACCAAGTTCCCAAATTACCAAGTTCCCAAATTACCAAGTTCCCAAATTACCAAGTTCCCAAATTACCAAGTTCCCAAATTACCAAGTTCCCAAATTACCAAGTTCCCAAATTACCAAGTTCCCAAATTACCAAGTTCCCAAATTACCAAATTACCAAATTACTAAATTCCCAAATTCCCAAATTACCAAGTTCCCAAATTACCAAGTTCCCAAATTACCAAATTCCCAAATTCCCAAATTACCAAGTTCCCAAATTACCAAATTCCCAAATTACCAAATTACCAAATTACCAAATTACCAAATCTCCAAATTTTCAAAAATCCCAAATTCTAAAATTTCTAAATTTTCAAAAACCCCAACTTCCTACATTACCAAATTCCCAAATTACCGAATTTCCAAAAACCCCAAATTCCCAAATATCTTAATCCCAAAATTTCCTAATCCCAAAATGATTATTGTCTGCAAGTTCCTGGGGCCCCTAAAGTTCTCTATGCGACGCTGCATAGTCGGATTTCCATCGGAAGTACATTTTCGTCTATAACTTTAAACAAGATCGCGTGTCGTGCAAACCGTCTGGCTGATTCGCGAGGATAAATTGAAAAATACTCTTTTGACGCGTACAAACGGCTGACGGGTTTTTAATGGTCAATGACGTGAAAAGGCTGCGGATAATTATATTTCACAGGGCGACGCCAGAGAAGCGTGGCTTGTCGTTGAAATATTAATCCATGGATTTTGTTTGTCAATTTGCAAACTCAATTTACCAACCATTCCTTTACTCTTTTTTCTCTGGTCACTTTCAAAACGGTACGCTTTCCGTGTTCCTATGGAGTGACGTTGCTATTCATGAAAATAATTTCTGATAATTTCATCGCCGCATAAAAGAAAAAATGAGGTCTCTGTATTTTATCAAATATGATTTCATTGAATTCAGAATCAGTGACGGGGGAGTTCTCTGTTTTCAGGGCTTTTTATTTATTGTGACACAATTGTGTTTAATTGGAGATAAATTGTGGAACATATATATTGTATGTAAATTAACATATGTACAGTTTTAAGGAATATATATTTTTAGGGTAAATTTATATTGGTAGTATATTTAAGGTAATCATTAACTTAATCATTATGTTGGTGATTTGTGTTATTTTTTTTTCAGTATTTATTTTCAAGTTTCTAGGTCTTCATATTTGCAAGTTTGTATATCTTTAGGTTAGGTTAGGTTAACATGTACTGTTGATGTACAGTTTGGGGGAATTTATATTTTTAGGGTCAATTTATATGGGTGGTATATCTAAGTTAATTATTAACTTAATCATTAAGTTGGTGATTTTTGTTATTTTATTTGTGTAATTATTTTGAAATTTCTAGGTCTCTATACTTGCAAGTTTTTATATTTTTAGGTTAGATTAGGTTAACAAATGATGTATAGTTTGGTGGAATTCATATCCTTAGGATACATTTTCATCGGAGGTATATTTAAGTCAATTATTAGCCTTGTGTTATTTTTTATTTGAGTATTTGTTTTGAAATTTCTAGCTTTGCAGATTTGCAAGTTTTAGCATTTTTAGGTTTAGATTTATAAAGTTTTACATTTTCCAACTTACAAACGTTAAAATGATAAAGTTTCTATTTTTCAAATAACAAAACTTAATAATTTTTAAGTCATTACGCGTTGAAAATAACAAGTTTCTATTTAAAAAAAAAATGTACTAGTTTCAGCATATCCCAAGATTCTCAAATCTCAAAATTTCAAAATCCCAAAAATTCTTATGTCTCAAAATCCCCTTTTCAAGTTTTCAAATTCCCAAGTTCACAAATTCCAAAATTCCCAAGCCCCAAAACTCCTAAATCCTAAAGTTCCCAAATTCTAAAATTTTCAAGTCCAGAACTCTCAAATTCCAAAATTCTCAAACTCCCAATTTTCCAAGTTCCCAAATTCCCTAGTTCCCGAATCCCCTAGTTTCCAAATTCCCTAGTTCCCGAATTCCTTAGTTCACAAATTCCCTAGTTCCCGAATTCCCTAGTTCCCAAATTCCATAGTTCCCAAATTCCTAAATCTCCAAATTCTCAAATCTTCAATTTCTCAAATCCCTAAATCTTCAAGTCTCCAAATTCTTAAATCCCCAAATTCTCAAATCCCAAAATTCCTAAATCCCCAAGTTTCCAAGTTCCCAAATTCCCTAGTTCCCAAATTTCCTAGTTCCCAAATTCCTAAATCTCCAAATTCTCAAATCCCCAATTTCTCAAATCCTTAAATTCTCAAGTCTCCATATTTTCAAATACCTAAATTCTCAAATCCTCAAATCCCCAAATCTCCAAACTCTCAAAACCTAAGATTCTCAAATTCCCAAATTATCAAAGCTCCAATTTTTTAATTCCCAAAATTTCCAAATTTCCAAATTCCCAAATTCCCAAATTCCTAAATTCTCAAATCCCAAAATTGCCAAATCCTAAAATTCCCAAATTCCTAAATCTCCAAATCATTAAATCTCCAAATTCTTAAATTCCCAAATTCTAAATTACTCAAATCCCCAAATACACAAATCCCCAAATCTCCAAAATCTCAAAATTCTCCAAAATCCCCAAAATCCCCAAAATCCCCAAAATCCCCAAAATCCCCAAATTCCCAAATCCTCAAATTTGCAAATCCCTAACTCTCCAAATCCTCATCCCCCAACCTCCAAAATTCCCAAATCCCAAAATCAGATCCCCACCCCCAAAAATCTCAACCTCCCAAAAAACCTTCATCTCACTCCCCCTCAAAAGTCCATATTCCCCAACAAACAATCTCCCTTTACCCTTTTTGGCATGTCACAAAGAAGCTTTCGCAATCGCAGATACGAAGATCTAACGATCCGCTCTCATCCTCGTTGCGATAATTTATCGTTCGCCTGTTATCTCTGCTTTTCCTGGCGGTTCTCTCCGAACCAGCCGCCATTGTAACAGTCTACGTAACGTACTCGAGCACGAAGAAGCTCGTATGCAAGGTTAGACGCATAAAATGCAGAACGACTGGGTTTGACTTAACGGGTCACCAGATACGGACTCGTTTGCCCAATCTGCTTTTCACTCGGAATCTTCAACCGATCCGATTTCGTCCGACTTTTTTCTGCGAATCTTTACAAACCTACGATTTCGGTGCACGCGGACGCGATTGGCCTTCGCTTCGTTTCGATTAAAATCGCCTCGTTCGTGCTCGCTCAAATGATAGAGCCGCGATCTTTGTCGAATGAAAGCTGATTCAGATTACCGCTAATATAAATTACCACGATAAACTTAAAACGATGTTATATCGGATGAAAGTTATATCGCTGAGGGTTGTTTGTACGTGAACTTTTAATCAAACTTCAAATCTCGTATTTTTATTCAAAGTGTACTTTGTATGTAAATGTTCTCTGGTTTTGTAATTTTAAGCTCGTGATTTTATTTAGTTGGGTAAACCTTTCTGCTGGAGAGTTTGAATACTTTTGAAGTTTTGCTCGTATCAATTTTCACTATCTGTTTTAGTGTTTATACAGCACGTGTGGACAAAAGTATTCGTACAATTGAAATATAGAAATCAAAAGAATAATTTAGAATAGAATAGAATTTGCAGAACAATAAATGCTAGCGACGACTTCTGGAAAAACGCAGTATTTTCCGACGAGTCAAAATTTAGTATTTTTGAGTCGGTAGTAAAAAGGTATGGCGGAAAGGTAATACTGAATTGGATTTTAAAAATATGCAACCGACAACGAAACACGGAGGTGAAAGTGTGATGGTGT